AATATAAGCTCTGAAGAAGCATGGAAAAAGTTTGTAGAAGATACTCTTTCTACTGATTTTCAAGTAAGTTAAATTTTGATATTGACTTTAAACTTTGTAGTCAATTATTGTTGGTTTATATTGTTTTCCTTGATAGGAAAAAAGTTCTAAGTTCAGCAAAATGAGAAGTAGTTAGAAGCTTCTCCATACTATGGGTCGGAACGGTTATTCACGTATAGCTCACGATTTGGTACAAGAACTATCTTTCTTTATTTTTGATATGTGTCTTTATTGATTTCATATACGTGTCTGTATTGAGTTCAACATTGTTATTGTAGAAAGAAAGAATCCAAATATAACAGGATTGAGAATGACAGTATGGACTTATGTACATCTTCGAAAGGATGGGAATCCAATAAATGAGGCGGTTGCTGAAACTTTGGTACGTGTATTGTGTGTGTGTGTGTGTGTGTGTGTATATATATATGTATATATACACACCAGAGAGTGTGTGTGTAGATCTAGTGTAATATTTAAGTTTCATAAGTGCAGATGAAGATAAAAGATTGTGCCGAGTCAATTTCTGATACACCAGTCGAAAATTCTATTCGAGATGATGCTGTTGCTTGAATTTTAGGTCCCGAGCGTCGTGGACGAGTAAGGGGACTTGGACTTGGGGTTACACCATCAAAAATAGATGGAAATACACAAAGCAGTGAGAAAGTGAGAGACCTTGAGAGCAAATTACAAACTCAATCAGTAAGGATGGAAGCACTCGAAGAAAAGGTTGAAGCACTTCTGAAGTTATCCCAGGTTATACTTTGCTATTACATAGAATATGATAGCCTAACTTAATATATCTTAAAATTTCAATAAGTTTAATTTTTTTTATTATTTTGCAGAATCAAAATAAGAATGTAGAGGATATGAGTTCACGTGCTTTTACTCCACAGGTTTTTGTACTGTATATTATTTTTTCAATATAAATTCAGATTATATCATACTATTTTTAAAAATAGACTTTATTTTAATGCGAATTTGTAGTCTCAACAAGGAAGTGGTATGGAGGGAGGTATTGCACTAGTGGAAAATGGAAAGTGTCAACTATTGCACTGGTACTTGGTTGAGGAGGAAATTGTAGGCGAAGGGAAGATTGCATCAATAGATCCAAGTACAAATGTGCATCACGTGCCACTAGGACGAGATTGTTGGAAGGTTTGAGTTGACGAGGTGTACATGGGTCATTTGCCCTTATATAGACCAACGGAAGAATTTCGAGTTCTTAGTGACGCCATAGGAAGTACTATTGCTTGGCCAAAGAGCTGCATTAGACTTATTTGACGAAGGTACTTTATAAATTTCTACATTTTTTTCATTTACGTATTTGTCATTAAACATGTTTCAAGAGTGGCTATATATGTGTGCATACACAAGTCTACAACCTTGAATGTGGAATTTTGTTCATGGCATTATTAATGAGTGCACAATGGCTTCCCTTAAAAAAGAAATTTATCTTATTTTTAAAAATCAATCAAGTTTTAATTATGAGCTTGTATTCTTGAGTGTGTGATTCAATTTTTTCTTTAAATGACATAAATTTGCTGCTATATACGTTGAATGAGTATAGACTGGTTATGTAAAAAGAATGAATATAGTTGTGTCTTAAAAAGCTTTAAATGACATTGTATTGTTTCTAAATTGCTTGCTCTTTTTGATTAATTTGTTGTTATATTCTTTCTTTCTTGCAGTTACATGGAGCTGAAGTGAGTTCGAAAATCTCTTTTGTGCTTGTATCGTCTTGGATCTCGTCTATGTAAAAAGATTTGGCTGGGACTCGTTAGAAGCTTCGGTTATGAATCGTTTACATAACTTTTAGACATTTTTCATAGTTCTTTGGTTAGATGGTGTATATTTTTGAATTGAAGTATTTATTATGTTTTAATGAAGTAATATTGCATATCGGATCATGTTTATTGGCTTAAATGAAGCACTTTTAATTTTTTGTTGGCTTAAAGTACTTGTGCGTAGGTAGTAAAAATATGTTTTTAATTCACAGGTTTAATTGGCAGGAAAAATGTAAAATAATTGATCAGAAAAATAAAAATGACATTTACGACAAACTCCAGTTTCGGCAACTTGCAAGAGCACGTTGCTGAAACTTGGTTTCGTTGCAAGTTTCGGCAACGTGCAAACTTGCGACGTGCATTGCACGTTGCCGAAGTGGGGTTTTAGCAACGTGCTCTTGCACGTTGTCGAAGCTGGGTTTCAGCAACGTGCAATGCACATTGTCGAAACTCTTCGCTCTATGGCAACGTCTCATCCCACAACAGACGCCTGAACGTTGCCATAAGTCTACGGCAACGTTTTCTGCCAGTTGCCAAAAGTGGTTTTTGGTGTAGTGACACATGTCATGCTTGTTAAGAGGCCGCATGCAACATTTTCTTAAATCCTTAAACAAGAGTCATGACCCCAATCCCTTAAGACTCTTTATATACCCTCTATTAAGATATTTAGCCTTTAAAGTTATCTTAAAGTGAACCCAAGCGAAAGAGAAAACAAAGGAAATAGAAATAATAATAATAATAATAAATTAGAAATAAGAACCTGGAAACTGAATTTCTGGATAAGTGAGTTTAGCACACGGTTTTGAAGGTTATTTTCATTATTTTTGAAGATGCTCTTAAGCCTCTAAAATTGCTTGATATTATGTTGGGGATGTTGTTGAGGATGTTATTATGGGAAAAGGAGAGAAAATTGGGGGAGATGTATTGAGTGAAACAACTGAGGATAGAAATTACATAGTTGCTGTATATTGTCGATTCAACCTTTGATTTTAGATAATACCTTTAGTATAACTTGTATTTATTAATATGAACATTTTTATATATGAGTTATAAGTATATAAAAGATTTTTAATAGGCTAGAATCTGAGTTATGATATGTTAATCCAAGTGAAAGTCAAAACAACCATAATAAAATTCTTGATTTGGTGTTCGATTAAAGGGATTAATTTTCGGGGTTCTAAATCGATTATTTGTGTTGAATTAACAACATATTTACCTGCACATATATTTTATAAGGTAAAAATTTAGGAAGGAAAGAATGTGATTAAGGGTGTGAAAAGATGCATGAAATGGGACGTGGCAGCAACTAAAACTCAAAAGATAGATTTTGTCCAATTTTGGTAGTTTTCATATTTTCAACCTTTACATATACACTAATCATCTCTTCTGGAAAATTAATTTTAATAAGTGTTAGATCGTTAGAGACAATTAGATGACGTTGACATTCGCTATTAGACTAGAAAAATAATGAAGTTTATAGGATTGTTTTGGAGTACAATCGATAACTTGAAGTAATAACATTATCTGAACTATTTGGCACTGATGTTCATAGCAAGGAGTTGTGTGTGTGTGTGTGTGTGTGTTAGGATTATAGAATTGAGGATCGTGTTTAATATTAAATGATAATATAGATTATCTTTTGATGTTAGCTGAAAAGTTAACTTTACCTACACCTAGTAGAAAGATCACAAACAAAGACAAAAAGATAAGCAAAAATTCATTTGCAATTACGATGTAAGAACACAGTCTTCGTGAAATATTCTCTATATAAAGTATTGTTGTAACATTTATATGATTTGATAACGAGATTGTGGCATACCATATGATAGTTATGATGATTGAGCATGCCATTCATGAGCATTTGCACGTGCATGCACGCCATATGTCCATCGTTAAAAATTTAGAATGCACAACATGATTAGAAAAATGAATTTACATTATAAAATATTTTATTGACCATTATTAGGGCACCGATGCATATAAGATATGCTTAAGTGATATGTTTTTGGCACTACGCGTGATACTTCCTGGGTGATTGCAAACGTAGATAGGAGATGGGCCTTTGGTACGGGAGGGTAGACAACTTGATTGTGCCTTAGAGATGTTATGATGATTGGCTGTGCTACATAAGATACTTCTTGGGTGATCATAGGGATAGTTAAAGGATGGGCCTCTAGTAATCATAAGAAGCTGGTCCACTCATCATTTTCGATGTCATATTGGCCATTTGATTATTGATTTAGATATTACGCAGAGCTCTATCCGGTGCAAAGTAAGTGGGTCAAGGGTACAATAAAATGAAAATATTTCAAATGAATCTATTTTGAGTTAACTTTGATGAATATTTGAATATGATGAATTTTGGAATGATATTTAAATGAATGACTTGGCGGCATATATTCATATTACTTATACTCATAGCATGTATGATTTTTACTTATTGGACATTAGCTCATGTAGCTCTTGCATTGTAGGTGAACATGGAACTTCATAGAGGATAGAGCTAGCTGTGAAGCTCTTACGGGATTTAAAAATTTTATGTACATGGATGACAACCTCTAAGGTTTTGTTGTGGGCTGTTGTTTTTTGTCTTATAATCTGTCGTATTATATTTTGGGAATCCTATATCGTATATATATGACTTTTAAAATGGTATGATAGATACTTTCATAACCTCAAAATAAATATGTTGGAATTTGGATATATAGTGTTTTGTCGTAATAAGTTAGATAAACATCACAGTTAATTAGGTGAGAATATACATGGACCTTAGTCTGAAAATGCTTATTTCATTTTATCTTTGAAAAAAAATATAATGTACGAACGTATGTCTAGGTCGTGTCATTAAATTTTTATTTGTATATAGGTGAGTGTATAGTTGTCTATATAAATAGGTTGTGACAAAGCGCATGATCACTTCATTCTGGCATATAAAACAAATTACTTAGTTAGACTTGCGTCTACAACAAAAGTGCAGTCTTTTTGAAGATAAATTTTCTACTTCAAACATATTTAGGTTATCATTATGTCATATGTTATAAGGAAAAATGCATAGCTACAAATATATCACTTTCAAAAATAAGAAACGTGTGAAAAAGTTTCAGAAATCAGGCGATCATATTTTGTGATATTTTACAAAATTTTGTGATATACATATTAATCAATTTGTTTCTTTTTTACTTGCAGGGACTAGCTTGACGAGCAGATTCTGGGTCTATTGTTGGCCTAGTACAACAACTGGGATGTGCCACTTCATTATAATATTTGAAGTGTACCTGATATTGTCATATCATCAAGTATTGTAGTTCTAGGAAGCTGAATATCCCTTGTCAGACTAAATTAAGTCAAGAAAAGAAAAGGTCTATACTTAAAACGAAGAAGTCTGGTTGTTATTAGACTCAAAAGCAGTGACGTGCCTTTTAAAGGGCAAAAAAAAAAAAGTTTGAACAAAGGGAGATCCTAAAAAATGTATTTTAAGAATCTTTTTCTGTACAAGATCAATTTTCCTAAAAATGTACATATGAAAAAACATGATAACAAACATTCTTTCTTTCTGTGTTTCCTTATACTTCTTGTGCAGTCGAAAGAAGATTATTTGTTGATAAATCCTCTCTTTGTAGATTTTATATGTACATATGTTAAAAAAAAGTTCATTTTAAAGATTGACTTGAATATTTTGAGAGGAAATAAAGGCTTTTAAATGTTCATTTCCACAAAGGGAAAGCCTTAAAAAATGTGTGTGTATATATATATAAATGAAAAAATACATTCGAAGATTGACTTTAA